ACATTTTGGAATGTTTTAAATATCTGAATATATTGGTAGTGTGTATTGAAATTTTATAGTATATTGGCAATATTAGTGCACATAAAAACTGGAAGTGAGATTTATTCAGACAACAGCTTGGTCTCCATAATTGTTATTTCTTAAAGTTTCAGGATGTGAAATAATGAACTAACGAACTAATCTTTTCTTCAGTTTTGAAGTGGAATCTATGATATATTCTCTAGGCACAATATATAGAAAGCCTTTAAAGGTACTTGATGATTTAAGGTTAATAATGGAGTCTCAAGGAATCACAAATTAGTAGAATTTATAATTAAATAATAGGTGGCTGTGTAAGCTAATAAATTTTGTTGTGCTTTTTAGTTTTTTGAGCTGACATGGTGAAGAAAATTATGTATATGATAGGGTTAGAGCCTTGGTTGGACCTATTAGAACCCTTGAGCATCTCATAACTTGGGAAGTTATGCTGTAAATAGGAGGTCACTAGAAAACTTAGTTTTTGAATCCAATTTCTTTCAGCTCACGTTCAAGTAGATGCCTTGTAAGCAGTGGGTGATTCTTAAGTTTTGGTTAAAAATTAAGAGTTGTTAAATGTGTACTTTCACCTTCAACAATCATGTCATCACCAAGTACAGTATGAGGAAAGTTGAAACCAGGGTTAAGTTTCGGCAGGCAAGGAAAGTTCTGCAAAAAGTGATTGTGGTAATGGACAATGGAGTCCAAACTAGATATAAGGAGACATCATAAGCAGAGTAAGACTGAAATAAAAAGTGAGGTTAAGTGACTGAAGTTCAGTGGGGCTGATTGAGCTATAAAAACAATAGTAGTAGGTAAAGTATGAGATGCTTGAAATCAAGATTTCAGCAGTATGTAGTATTTGGTGAATACGGGGTCTAAGTTCCCTTGTTGGGAATGAGTGGTTAAGATAGATAGAGAACACACATTGCATTTGAGTAAATCAGGGAACTAAAGGAAAAAGTGTTGGAAATGAAATCATTAAGAATGTTGTAGGTAGTAGTATAAGGCAAGACTGTGTGAAACAGGAAGCAACCAGATGGGCTGAGTCATGTATTCTTGGTCACTGGCTCTCAAATGGGAATATTTTGCCCCTTAAGGTACATTTGACAGTATCAACTTTGGTTACTGTAACTGGGAGAAGGGTATATATATATACTATTGGTTTCTAGTCAGTAGGGCTAGGGATGCTTCTAAACAACCAGACCATGCTTAGTGCAGCTCTTCTAACAAAGAATTATCTGGTCTAAAATGTCAAGTACTGAGGTTGAGAAATACTGTTTTAGGTGGATGTATCAGAATCAAGGCATACTGGTTAAAAAACAGGCTGAAAATTATCAGTCTAGTAAGTATTGTGTTTCTATTTTAATCAAATAGCTTCTAATGGAGTAAAGAATATACACACTAAAAATAAACATTCATCAGCCAGGCATGGTGGCACACTTCCAGCACTCAGGAGGCTGAGGCAGGAAAATAGCCAGCCTGGGCTACATGGTATATTCAAGGCTAGCCTGAAATACATAGCAAGATCCTATCTCAAAGAAAACAAAACAAAAAATCCATTCACTAAATGAACAAACATGTTGCATCCTTACTTAATAAGACAACACTATTCTAGATGCTTAAGATTTCTCAGTGAATACAGCAGGTAAAGATTCATGACCTGGAATAATTTTATTTAAGCAAAATGGGATAGAAAATAAATAGTATAAATAATAAACAGAAAGTGCTAAATGCTAATAAGAGTAGAGCAGATTAAGGTTATTTTGAGTGTTGAGGATGACAGAACAAAGAAAAGTGAGTTGCAGTATTAAATATGTAGCCAGGCATGGTGGCACCCACTCATAATCCCAGTGCTTCTGAGGCTGAGGCAAAACTGCCACAAGATCGAGGCCAGCCTTGGCTATGTAGTGAGGTGCCATCTCAAAAAGCCAATCAAAAATTTTAAAAATGAGAGTGTCAAAAGATTTCACTGATATGGCATCAGAGATTTAAGATTCTAAAAATTATAATAAATATATCTTGACCTGAAAATGTAATATGGGTTTGCACAGGTCTAATAGAAAAGAGGAATATAACTGATTCTCCTTACTAGGAAAAGGGTGGATTACTCTAAGTACATTGAGTGATACAAAGTTAGCGTCTATGGAGCTTCATAAAGAACAAAAATCTTGGAAAACAGACAGTATAAACAGGACAATAATTGTGCCCTTTACTATTTATCCCTGTTTTGATCCTGTTTAATTAGGCTGAGAATTGACAGGTTAATGATTAGCCCTTATTTAATCTGATTCTTCCTATTTGTTCCTTTTCAGCAAATAAGAATTAGTTGGTGATCTAGATTTCATAGTGACATGAATGAAGGCAAAAGAATGGATTTTCAGGATGGGACTGGAAGCAGTGGGAGAAATGGAAAGATTAATTTTACAAAAGGGGATAATTTGCATAAAGATTTACGATATTTATATTAATCTTGCTGTTAATCACCAATTTTCAGTGTCTGAATAAAGCCTCATTAGTTCTCTCTGCCTCTCAGGTACGGTAACAGCAGTAGGAACTATGTTATCCGGGTTGGAGACTATCATACTTTGGTGCCAGAGGAGTTTGAAGAAGAGATTGGAGTTCAACAGATTGTGATTCATGGGGCATATCGCCCAGTCAGCAATGACTATGACATTGCCCTGGTTAGATTACAAGGACCAGAGGAACAATGTGCCAGATTCAGCAGCCATGTCTTGCCAGCCTGTTTACCACTCCGCAGGGAGAAGCCACAGAAGACAGCCTCCAATTGTTACATAACAGGGTGGGGAGACACAGGTAATGTAACAGAGACATGAGTAAGGAAAGCTGGACATGTTGTGTGGAGTATCACACATTCAAATGTAAAATGGTCAGCAAGATCTTTAAATAGGTTCAGGCTGTTGTCTGGAAATTATGCCAGGTATGAAATGCATACATATAATCTAGATTCATATCCTGAAGGTACTGGTGGTTCCAATTCAGATTTTAGCAGATAGAACTCAATTGCCAGTGGAATTTAGTACAGAATATTCTAACTTTTGATTCTTCAGACCTCTGAGAGGACAGGGAGATTTTAAAATCCTACCCCTAGATGTGGGCCTGGCATTCTATAATTTTAAAGTTTTTCCAGATGCCTTTGATATAGTAGGCCCAGAAAAGGCTTTGGGGGTCTAGGTTTTGTTTGCCATGGAGTCCTTATCAAGCTAAATTTAATGGAGTTCTTAAATATATAGTAGACAAGGCCCACTGAGTCAAGTTTTTCCATTATGCCTTCCCAGTCTTGCCACTTGTAACCCATAAGCATGAGTAGTGTTTAGCTTATGTTCTTTTCAGGCAAAAAATAGTTCTTTGAATTGTCTTGTAGAGTTAAATCAACATGTCTTAGTAGATCCTTGCACAGGATGAAACTTGAAATTGTAGGTTGGTTGCTTTCCACCAAAAAGAATTACAATTATACTTTTGAAGTGTCAAATTATTCCTACAGGCAATAAAAATGTTTTAATATGTTTATTTTAGTCCACTTTACACTAAAGCTGGTTTTACACATTTATAGCAGCTATTGAATACTAAGAAAACATTGGGAACTTCCTGAAGTAAACGGGGGAAGCATTTCTTGAAGCAATTTAATAATAAAATCAGGTCAAGGTACATCAAGTCTTTCAGAAGGCTAAAGCATACTAGAATTATGAATTATGTCACCTTCCTTTGGACATATCTAAATGAATAGAAATGACCAAAGAAGTAAATACTTTTTGACTAGAAGTACTTTTTGTGTTCTCCAATTTAATAGATGGATACAAAAATATGATGGAATCTGTACACCCCCAAGGTTATTATGGATATAGTAACTGTACTGAATTAAGCCGTGGCTTAACAGGAAGTAGAGTGCTTTAACACCAGTTGGTGAAACTTGAGCAGTCTGTTTATATACGGGAAAGTAATGCAATTTTTTTTCCTGAACTATTCCTTTGCAATAGCTTTGCCATCTTATATGCTCATCTGCATTTATCATTCATATTTAATCCTCAAATTGAAAAGCAGATGGTTCTCAAATGGATGTTCTGATGCATAACCAGAATGAATATATTTTTAGCTTTTCCAAATTTTGTTTTGGGGGGAGATACTAAAGATTGAATTTAGGGCAGGATGCATGCTAAGCAAGCACTCCGCCACTGAGCTATATCCCCAGCCTATTTTTAGGTTTTTAATATATGCAATTCAAATAGTAAAGCCTACACAAATGTACTTTTTCTGGTCCCAGGAATCTAACTCGGGACCTTGTGCTTGCAAAGCAGGCAGTGGAACCACTGAGCTAAATCCCTGGCCCACAAATGTACTTTAAGGTTACCTTTTCTTTATAGCCAAGTCCATGTTATGCATTATCCCAAAATTCAGCACTAATAAATTTGAAAAAGATGTGCCAATAATTGAAGTACACTGAAGGATTTTGTTCCCAACACTATCATATGTTCATCAAACTGTCAAGTTGATTTTAAGTTGGAATCTCATTGACTAATTTATATATTTGGTCTGAGTAGGACGAGCATATTCAAGAACACTACAACAAGCAGCCATCCCCTTACTGCCCAAGAGATTTTGTGAAGAACGCTATAAAGGAAGGTTTACTGGGAGAATGCTCTGTGCTGGAAACCTCTGGGAACACAGTCGAATGGACAGCTGCCAGGGAGACAGTGGAGGACCACTCATGTGTGAGCGTCCCGGAGAGACCTGGGTTGTGTACGGGGTAACTTCCTGGGGGTATGGCTGTGGAGCCAAGGATTCTCCTGGTGTTTATACCAAAGTTTCAACCTTTGTACCTTGGATAAAAAGTGTCACCGAATTATAACTCACAGAAACAGTAAATAGTATTTGAAGAAACTGATGGAAACCACTAACTCCAGTATTAGCACTACAGGAGAAATAACTAATGTAAACTGAGATCCAGGTTTCTACTTTTTGATATAAATTGTGTAGCCCTTGCTACTTTTGTGGAGTGAACACTTCTGGTTAGATACCTCAGTCTATTATCGTTAATTGCATTGTCGTCTGATTTAAATTACTAGGGAATTTTTTGCTTATTTCCTCTGCCTATTTCTCACCATTCTCCATTCTTTATTTTGTAATAAGGCTGTTTTTGTTTGGATTGAGAATGCCCTATAATTGAACTTATATGGGGCATGTATTTATAATAAGAATCCATATTTAAAAGGTACCTTTATGCCTCTAAATGTGGCATTAGTATATTTGTTCTTTTTCAAAAGGTTATCTTCACCTATCACCTGAGGCCTTTGTCAAATGAGCAAATCAATGGCACATAAGGAATTCCATTAACAATTTCTAAGGTGGAATAGGATCATGAAGCCACAGAGTTACGATGTATTCCCCAATGAGGGCACCTGGTATTTCCAAGTATCCTTGTTAAGTAGAAATACTAAACTTAACTGTAAGAAAAAATATCTATGACAATTAAAAATTGGATTTAACACGAACAGTGCTAGCTGAATATACAATCTTACCAGGCATATTAAATAATCTTTGACAACCACTTGAGATCTACAACTTAGTAGGCAGAAGAAAACACTATCCTGTTAGCACTGTCATTTTTCAGATGATGGGAGAGCCATCTGCTGGAACTTTCTAGCAATTGACATACCTGAGTTAAGACAACCTGCTAAGTTAAAATGCTTCCCCTTGTCTTTGTATATCTATCAAATGTGTTATCAGTTTAACATGTGATAGGTTTATTAGGTGATCATGCAACTGACAACTTGCTAAACAGGCAGGACAATGGAACTTTACATTAGTCTTAATTTTTTCTTTCTTTTTTTTTTGGTACCGAGGATTGAACTCAGGACCTTGCGCTTGCAAGGCAGGCACCAGAACCACTGAGCTAAATCCCTGGCCCTAATTAGTCTTAATTTTCAAATGGGCATGGTGAGAGGTTTGATTATTAACTCTTCCTTTAAAAAGGAATCCCAAGGATGTTGGAAATACATCCCCCCACAATCCATGGTCATCTCACCCAAAGGTCAGTTTTCTTCTCAAGAGATTAAGCAACAGCTTTATAGGTAGGGCATTCTTGATAGCAAAAACAAAATCTTTGCCAAAAGAAAAGGCCGACACCATTAAGATACTTAATACTCCTAGATAAGGGAATTATTCCAGATGTCATGGATACTTCCTCTGAATTCCTAATTTAAAAAATGAAGAGGTTAGCATGAACTTTAGTATGGCTGTAAATAACCTTAAATTTTCTCTTGCAAAGAAGCATGTCCCTTTTGTAAATCCTGTTTCCCAAAAGCTGGTGCAAACTTATAGGTGCTTTATAGCATTACTTTTTAGATGTGAAATTTGTACCAATTAGAATAGCACTAAGTTTTCTAAGAGCCCATCATTTCAATTTTAAAAACAACTACCAAAGCAGCATTGACATTTAGTCAAGGGCCTGAGAAAAATGTGTAATACAGGTGAAAAATTATCATTACAGAAAACTTTAATAGCTGCCCTTGTAATTAAACTTGCTGATATAAACATTCATACAGATGTTTTAAATATATGTAGAATATATGATTTATAAATATGTAGTCAATTTTGTCTTAAATGTTTTCTTGGAAGATAAGTTTTCAGTGCATATTTATGTAAATAAAGCACATCAATTCTTACCTCGTATAGCTGTCTTAATTTTGGGGGTAGTATGAAAACACTGCTCCCTTGGGTAATTTTTATGTGCACGTTTCTTAAGCCATATTTTCAATTCCTGTTACCTTTACACACTCTAACCGTGGACAGGGAGTATTTTTACTTTTTCTCCATTTATTGTTTAAAGAACTGCATATCTATGCACACACATCACATCATTTTATTCAATTATATCAAGGAAATACCTTAAATGCTAATTTAAGCATATACTGAAAATACCTTCCCAGTAGTTTTCATATTACTCAAAATGCCCACTTCCCCACTAAGAGATTTATGTGACCCACTGTAACATGCTGCATAAGACTTCACCCGTTATCACTTTGGATTTCTTGATTATCTGTAAGAAAACAGAACCAGCATTAGAAAGTTAGATCTGTGTACTTACCTTATCACTGCGATCTTAACAAGTGATTTATTTTCTATTCAGTTGGCTCTAAAAGTCCAGTTATAAAAAGCCAGTCTAAAAGAGTTTGACTATTCGATAAAACTTATAAAAGGAAATGGAACGTACCTTGCTGTTTTTCGTTTCTCATCAGCAGTAACTTTCGCTTCCTAGAAACATGTGAACACTCATTAGAATAGACTGCCCGATAACTTGGCCTCCTTCAGGTTTTAAACAATGAGGAATGTTACTTGTGCAAGTCAGAATCTGATACCAATTAAATGGTGACAGCTTTGCCAATAAACAAGAATATGCTCTTCCATGGCTAGGAAGGGAGACTGCCATGGTTGACAGGTCCCAAAGACACATGGAGATTCAGAGTCCAGAGTTCAATCAGCAAGCCCAACTCCCAAAGATATTACTCACCACATGATCAAATTGTAGCGGTTCTCAGGGTGCTCTAGCGCCGAATACAGGGTAGCCTCAAAATAGCCACATGACCTCGGCAGTGGAACTGCAGATCTCCCGCCCGGGCGTTACTGGGTGCACAAACCTCGCCCTGGACAGATGCGGGCCCGGTCAGGGTCCGGGCCTGCGCGTGGCCGTCATGCGACCTAATAAATGCAGAAGTTCTTTCGAGTCCTCGAACCTAAAGACTTTTAAAGCTGACCGCCTCCAACCACTAAAGCAAGAATTTTGAGACCCCTGCATTTTAAACACGCCAATAAATTCTGACCAAATTATTTCTATGCAAAATAGGACCGCTTACTCCCCACAGCCTAGACGCTTTCCGCACGCAAAAGGCCGAACCGCCTCTAGCGCACTCTTTTATATAGCCGCTGACGCTCTTCCGGGGGAAGAGTCGCGAGGGACGGGATCTTCCTTCTGCTCGCTCCGCCACCCGCCTCCCCGGCTCCCCGCCCCGCCCCCGATTTCATCTTCCGTCAGCCATCTCCTCTTGAGGTTCCACCCCTCTCCAGGCACTTCGCCTCGGCTACTCCGCCCATCATCTAGGATTGAGCTGGTTTACCCGGATGCGGGTTAGACGCATGCGTGTTAGACGCATGCGCAGACACGAGACCAAAACCCTCCCAAGTTCTGTGCGTCTAGAGCGCTAGCTGACTCGATGAAGTAGAAAGATTATTTTCTGTTTAGGGACCTTGTTTTAGAAGCGACTATTGCTACGGAGTGACTCATTTCAGCACTTAACCTTTTAGTGGGTTAATTTCTATAAAGTTGACTTTTTGGGGGGTCTTTTTGCCAATGAACTCTCGTGCTATTCTTGGCCTTCGTCGTCCACTGGAATTCCTTACAGGTCCTGAAGTGCCAATGTCAGTGGCTTCTCAAATTTCTTTTTACCTTAATTTCTTAAGGGAATTGGTACGTCAATATTGACAAGCTCAGCAAAAGATTTCCTAAACACAAGAAAAAGGGCCGCGTTGTGCATACCTGTAATACCGGCCCCTTGGGAGGCTGAGTCAGAAGGGTGACAAATTCGAACTCAGCCTGGGCGATTTAGCGAGGTACGGGCACCTTGTCTGAAATTAAAAAATGAAAAAGCCTGGGTGGTAGCTCAGTACCCTGCATTCAATAGCTAATACTAGGGAAAAAAAAGATTAGAAAAAAGAAAAGGATGACTAAATTCTAGTTGGTGTAGAGGAGCCGTGCTTGGGGGTGTCTCTTGTCTGATCTAGTTACCTGACCACTTTCTTGAGCTCTAACATCTGTGAGCAGAGCCTGGATCCTTATTCCCCGCTGCACGTTTCACTGAGGATGCAATTAAAGAAAAGGTAGAGGCACCTCAGTGTGAAATGGAATCTCCAACGTTCAAGACTAGTTTTAGCCAGGTATGATGGTGCGGGCCTGCGATCCAAGACTCAGGAAACTGAGGCTGGAGGATCACAAATATGAGTCCTGCTTGGGCAGTGTACCCATTTAGCAAGACCCTGTCTCAAAGTAAAAAAAGAACAATTTGGGATGGAGTTCAGGGCCAAGGAGTCTTGGGTTCAATTCCCAGAACCAATCCAAACCAAACAAAAAGTTTTTGTCTTAGGACAGGTGCTTGTTAAATCACAGTAATATTTATTTTGTTTTCTCTTACTTTTCTTAGATATGAAACAAAGTTAGAGGAGAAGCTTTTACTTAGTGCTGAACCATTTGGGGCAGCAATTGCTATTAGGGAAAATGGTGTCAAGATCTTGTTGGGTGAATAAAGTACAATGGAGATGTACAAAAACTTTGCGAGGTCTCTATGTAGATTTTTGGGAAAAATTTAATGACATTAAAAATTGCTCTTATGGTAAGGATCAGAGTGGACAAAGTTGTAGGAGGAATATTTTAATTTGAAGTAACTAGAACTGTTTCTAAGGCTCACCATATTTCACCCTATCTTACTTTATCTCATCTTACTTTATTTCGGTAATGAACCTAAAGAACTACTCAATAACAAGGCTCAAATACTGAGTCACAGTAGGGAATTTTGTCAAATAAATAGCCACCTGTATTAGTTTCTTAGGGTTCCTCTAACAAAATACCATGCTGAAACGACAGAAACTTGCCTGGTTACAGTCCTGGAGGCTACAAGTCTGAGGTTAAGGTGTCAGCTTATTTCTTCAGAGGCCTCTCTCCTTGGCATGTAGATGAATGAGAGTCTTTTTTTTTCTGTCTTAACATGGTTTTCCTTAGGTACCTGTCTGAGTCAATCACTTGTTCTGTTTTTTTGTTTTTTGTTTGTTATTTGCAGAGCTAGGGATTGAACCCAGAGCCTCCTCACAAGTGCTAGGCAAACCCTCCACCACTGAACTATATACTTATCCTTAAAAGGGTTCTAGTCACATATTTAATGAGAGCCCACTGTAATAACCTCTTTTAACTTTACTTATCTCTCTAAGGATCATATCTCCAAATACAGTCATATTCAGAGGCAGTGAGGTTTAGGTCTTTAACATGCTTGGAACCCGGGGGTTCATGTGTGCTCACCAAGTGCTCAACACTGAGCTGCACCCCCAGCCTGTTCTATGAATTTTTATATTTTTTTCCTTGCCAAGTAGCCCAGGCTAGTCTTGAATTTATAATCCTCCTGCCTCAGCTTCTAGAGTAGCTGGGATTACAGGTGTGCCTCACCATGCCTGATTTACTGAAGATTTTAAATGAATGTTTCCATTGGGTTAAGGGGCTAGAATGTATGTTCTGGCTTTTGACTGGATTTTTGTGTTTTGTCTGAACCTAGACTTCAAAAAAATTGCCATTTTTTTACCCCCATATTTTGTTTTTCCATCTTGTATGCTTTCCCATTTATTTTTATCTGTCAAATGTCTATTCAGCTTTTAGTGCTTTGCTTAAACATTGCTTGTCCTTTGCTTGTCTTGTGAAAACATTTATTACTCCAAATTATTTTTTTGACATACAGTAGTACTCTTCCTGTGATCATTATTATAAACTTTTGTGGTGAAGGGCAGGATCTAATTCTTTCCTTCTCTCTCTCTCTCTCTGTCTCTCTCTCTCTGTCTCTCCTTCCTTTCCTCCCTCCCTCCCTCCTTTCTTTTCTCTTTCTCTTTCTTTCTTTCTTTCTTTCTTTCTTTCTTTCTTTCTTTCTTTCTTTCTTTCTTTCTTTCTTTCTTTCTTTCTTTCTTTCT